CTTATACCAAAAGGTTAAAGATTTCATTCTCTCTACTTTTTGCAATCTTTTCGTAAAAATCAAAAAGTCATCATAAACATACTAGTTTTTTTTAATCATATTTTAGTCAAAGAGCCAAAAAGTTATTAAAAAAAAGCATGTTTCCACTTTTGCTATATATATATATATATACATATATGTAAAGCTTCCCAGTTCATGAAAAAAAAAAAAATTAAGGCCTTGTTTGTTTTGATTTTAGGAGATAAGTTTTCAAAAAAAATTTGGGAAAAGGGTTTAGAAATTTTTATAGTTTGTTTGGCTATATATTTTGAAAATAGTTGAGTTTGAGAGTTTGATTTGATATTTTATTATAATTGAGTAGATGTATGTGAGAGAAAAAGTGATTGAAAATGAGAGAGGAGAGAGAAAAAGTGATTGATTAATGTGTAGGAGAGAGAGAAAGTGATTTTAAAAATTTTTTGAAAAATATTACAAACCAAAAATTTTTTTTTTTAAATTTCTCCAAAATCTTTTTCCCAAAGCCAAACCAAACAAGGCCTAAAAATCTCACAAGTACCAGCTACAAACTTTAGTTAAAACAACCTAAGAGAAAAGGGTAACTAACTAGTCGTACCATAAGGCATTTAAATGTTCAATTAATAAATGTTGTAATAATGATAGTCACTATCATTTGTTACAATGAAGTCTATCATTATCTCACTTAGTTTATTATCTTCTATACAAAGCTTGCGTACTGGACTTAATCAAAGATTTGTAGGTTGGAGAAAAGGGACACATTTGTGGGCGGTTGTTTTGTTCCTAATATTTCAATGCAAGGGACATTATTAGGGTCTTTTATCAGATTATAATTACTTGCACGTCTCACTCTGTGTATTTTGCAATGTGAGGTTTATAAAAGGGTTTAAATTCTAGAGGACTTCTAAATGTCAATGAAATTTAAGTGGTCTTTATAGCTTTTGAAGAGAAGAAAGTGATGATTTATTTTTATTTTTTATTTTTAAATAATTACGTGTTGGGTCAACTTGTGCACCTCAACTAATTTCAGGGTATTGAAATTAATAACTGGATAAACCTTCCATGATCACTTGAAATGACTCAAATTTAAAACCTTACATTTTATTCTCAACCTTTACTAGTTGATTAACCTCTTGGGGTTCAAAGTGATGATATTAATATGAACGTGCGAAAATATTGTAAAAGAGGAAGAGAATTGTAAAATGTGAAATGACATTTATGCTGTGTTTGGTTTGGAGATTTAGAGAGGGATTTGGAAAGGGAAATGAAAAAAGTAGGTGAAATGTGAATAAAACATGTTTATATTTCACCTAGTTTCACACACATTTTCCCTTCCCCTTTCTAAATCTCTCCTCAAATCCCCAAACCAAACACAGCATTAAAGTTTACTTTTGGGAATCACATGGACTTTCAATGATAATATAAACATTAATATAACATTAGGGGGGGGTGGGGGGGGGGAAATTAAGTAATGAGAAACACATAATTAGGACAAGTAAAACATGAAAAATTAAGCATAATTTTGTATGGAAATAACTTTGTTGTGGGTTCTCTTCACTTTATCATCAATGGACTTTAATTCTATCTATTCAACTAAAGTACGAAAATCAAGATTCAAAAATTGATCAAATTATATTCGAGGTATTTCTCCACAATTTATTCGATGAGATAGAATTAGGTAATCACCGTACAAATCGTGATTTTTTTGGTGACATTGACAAGGATCATTTTCTTTGTTTTTATGCTAGAAAGTGAAGTGTTTAGAGAGAGAGAGAGAAGTGTTTTTTAAAGCATTGAGAAGAGAAATATTGTTGAGGTAGAAAGGAAGGCAAAAATAATAAGCAAACTGTTTCAATACAAGGTTAAGGACCAGACATCTGGCTATAATTTACTGTTGCTTGGAGGACTTGTATTTAAACAAAATTTTATTGAAGTAGGTGATGTTATAACTAACTTTTGAATTTACAATTGTTCGGAGGGCTTGTTGTGTTCAAACAAAAATCCAAAATGATGTTGAGTGAACACTTTGATAAAGGAATCTAAATTAGGATTACAAAATCCCTAACCCTCTCTAATACCAAAATTTTGACTCTAGACAGTAACAAAACTTAGACATGTCAAACACCCTCTAGGTCTATTCCTTCTATCATGATCCAAATCTTACCTTATGAGGATTAGAAAAGTCTATGATCTCAAAAAAAAAGGGACCAGAAAAGGATTAGAATTTTACATCAATGATGACTCAAATTTCAACGTATGATTGGAAAAGTCTATGGTTCCAAAATAAGGAACCAAAAAATTATCAGAATTCGACATCAATCGCCTATGTTTAATCTAATTTTTATGGGATCACATCATAAACAAATAATAGCCTTAGATTTGAATTATTGTGCAAATTTTTGGTTTTATTTTCTGAATTTATAGACTGAGGATTTGAATTCAAACTGCCCAATAGGATTACTACCTAATGTCTGACTAACATGAAAAAATTGTGTGAATGTGTTTATCTTGCTTATTTTTTCAATTATTGTGTGTCTAGAATACTTGTTAATGTATAATTAATTACTTATTTGGTGTCAAAAATCAGCTAACTAATAACTTATCTTTTTTATATATATTATTATCATTAATGATTGAGGCCTCAAAATTTTTGGCTCAAATTTGGCTCGAATTTGATTTTTTTTTTTTTTTTTTTTTTTTTACTTATCTTTTTTATATATATTATTATTATTCAATATTTTATTAAATGTAAGATTTTCAACAACTTGTATTTCTTGTAGCAGTTATTAAAATTTTCTAATATCGACTGGACCCTTATATGAAGTCATGATGAAAATGTAAATAATTATAGAAATGAAATTGGTTTCCGTTCAATTCATGTTTTGGAGTGGATGGTCTAGTTCTTACAGTTGTGTGTGTAAAATCTGTCAAGTAGATCATTCATACAAAAAAATTAAGTTGATCGAACTTTAACGACTACTTGACTGGATCATAGTTCTTATAAAAAAAATATAAACAACAAATATGATTTAAAAAATTACAAATATAAATTGATTGATCATATTTGTTATAAAAAATATATATTAATAGCAAGCATGATTTCAAAAATAATCTGTTAATTTTTTTTTAAGACTTATTGGTGATTAGTCTATTTTCATAGGAATATGACAAAAACAATAAACAAATAAAATAAAATCAAGGATTGATCTTTCATGGAAATAAAGAAATTATTAATGAAATTGTTTGGTGAGAAGAATAAATTATTATTTTAAAGATTTTTTTTTTCTATTTTTACCCAGTATCGCTAGATCTATCGAACTGACGCTGAAAAAGTTGCTAGAAAAATGCCCAAAAAAGTTGTTAAGTAGTTGTCAGTGATGGCTGACATCAGCGATTGGTGATGGTGGTGATGATAATATAGACAGGTAAAGATATTAGGTAGATAGATAGAAAACATGTAGACAAATAAAAGGATGACGTGTGAACAAACAAGTAGATAAACAAGTGACGTGAACAGATAGGTAATGTGGCCAAATAGACATATAGGTATGAATAAGGTCTTTCGAATTATTTTGTCATTTTGGTTTTAAAAGAATAAGATTTGGGACTATTGCCCTTCAAAAGTTTTGAAATTAGACTTATGGTCTGAGTTCATTTTTATATAGATAGGACACTCAGGCTTTATTTGGAAATAGACTTTTTTAGTAATTTTTTAACTTTTTAGCCAAAATATGATGTAAAAAAAACTAATATGTTTAGGATGACTTTTTAATTTTTTACGAAAAAATATGCAAAACGTAGAGAGAAAAGGAAATCTTTGACTTTTTAGCATAGGTTATTAGCTTTTTGGTTTTTTTTTAATGACTTTTTGATTTTGAGACTAAAAAGTGATGTTGCCAAACGCAGCCTAAGGTCAGATGTTTACTTCTGAAATTATCGGGGCAAAAGAACATTATTTAGCTAAAAGAACACGTGTATCCAAAAACTTACCTATTTATTCAAAATGTAATTTATCTGTACAAATGTCACCTATCTATCTAATATTACCTATCAATCCACCTCACCCCCACAATGACAACTTTTTGATGACTTTTCTATCCAATTTTTTGACAACTTTTTAATATGTATCTGTTAACAAAAATTTAGTTTAAATCCAATTGACAGTGATTAATCAACAAACTAAAACTAACTTTCACAAAAACACAAAAGATCAGATTTTTGGTTCAGTTCTATGCCTTAAACAAGATAAGGACTTCTTTTGAGGTAAATAAAGAAGGATGAAACAAAAGAATAACTGAAATTGTATTAATCAAAATGAATGTCACTTGCTACAAGTTATATAAACTTAAACAAGAACAAAAACTTGAAAAACACACTGATCAATAGAAAAATAATAACAAATTATCACTGATCTACTCATAGAATGCTAAGTTGTTACACCTAGATAGAAACTATTCTTATGATCCACATTGTGTGAGTTGTGTTGGATGTCTTTGTAGCTCTCTTGACTTATTTATAGGCTCAGTTATATGAGAGAAACAATGAAGTAATCGAAATTCATGATTTCCTCAACATGCCATAATTTTCTATGTTTTTCTCAACATCATCTGTGTCCCATGTTTGACAGGAATCAGTTTGTAAATTTTATGCTTTGATTTTGTCTTGATTTCTTGATTCAAGCAACTAACTTTTAAATGACCGCAATAGCTAACTTTTCTAGCCCTCCATTCAACATGTTATCATGCTACATTATACCACGTTCTTAACATACTTGTCATGTCACGTCAGCATGCCTTTCGACATGGATAATAATAATAATAACAAATGTGTCCAATGTTATTATTTAAAAATAATCTATAATTTCAATCAACAAACCTTAATCAACAAGTCATAATCGACAAAAAAATAAAATAAAATATAGTCTCACCAGTAACCTTACCAGCAAAAAATAAAATAAAATAAAATATTAAACCAAATAACAAATATCCATTAATCACCACCAAGAAAAAACAAAGAAAAAGAAAATAGTTTAGTTGATTGTTAAGTCGAGGGAGGGAGGGACATGAAATGTGAAGGGCCATGCTGTAGTGTCACCCAACGAAAATAATAGAGCAGCAGTTGACACATGGTCCCAGTCCGGCACACTCGCCGGCTGTCTCCTAAGAGGGAGAAAGGGTCAACTTCAGCCGTACACGTGCCACACGCCTATCGAGCTGCTTTCGACAGTCAACCCCGCAAAGAAGAAGAAAAAAAATGAGCGTGCGGCCCAGGGGATTATGGCATTGTGCTTGGTGAAAGGGAAGATGATTTTGGAATGTTCACATTTCTCTCTTCTTCATCCTCAGATTTGTGTCGGTGTTCCTACCCCAAAACAAACCATTATATAAGGGGGTTTTGTCATCACAAATCCTATACCTCACTAGTTTTTTTTTTTTTTTTTAAACGTATATAAATTATTTTATTTTATTTTTGTTTAAAATTAAAAAAAAAATACACTGAAAAGAAAAAATACTGAACAAAAATTAATGACCTATTTGTTTTGATTTTCAAAATCTATTTTTAGAATAAATAAATAAATAAATAAAATATTTATCATTTTATATAATTTTACCTTTTGATATAATTCTACATAAATAATTTTTAAAAATTTAAAAATATCTTTTTGATATTTATTTTTGTCAAGCTAGTTTTTATTTTTTCAAAATAATTTCAAAAAATCAAACTAAACATAACCTAAATGTTTATGTCAACTTAACTACAAAAATATTATTTTAATTTATGTGTTATTTAATATACAGTATGAGTTTATTGGATGGGTTTAGGATTTTAATATAGTTTTAGTACCTCTTTCCGATGTAATCTTTCCGATGTAATCAAAATATATATATATATATAGTTTTAGTACCCAACTTGGAATTGAATTTTTAGGCCCAACTAATATTATATGTAGTTGGTATGCTTATTAATATCTCTAACATTATTACAAATATTAAAAATAAAAATAAAAAAATCCAAAGCAAACGTCCCATAGAAATAATATTCTATTATGTTGTATTAACAAGACTTATTTTGGGCTAATCTGGAAAAATGGTAAAAAGTCAATTTTTGACTTTTTACATATTTTGAGTTATATCATCTTTCTATTTTTTTACACTTTTTTTTATAAAAAAAAAACAAAAAAGTCAAAAAGATAGTTTTTAACCAACTCTCCAAAACAAGTCTTACTTTCTATTTTCCATTTGTTTAAATGCTTCAAACTTATTTGAAATTTAAAAGATTAAGAGGAATATAGAACAATCATTGAATATATCGTCACACCTTTCCCTCTCCCTTGGTGGTATAGTCTACAACTCTTTTAATGCTACAGTTGAGTTACATTAAAATATTTGTCAATTTCTATTTAATATCTATTAAACTATATTTAATTTGTATTGTGCAACTGAACACTTATGTTTTGTTTTTTTTTTTTTTTTTTTTTTTTGGAGAACACTTATGTTAGTATGCCTTGGTTTTGTTTTTCTTGAATCAGATTATCACTAAGTTTACTGTTCACTAATTCCTTTGTTCAATTTTTTGTTAGATTATGAATCGGAATTTGGTTATTAATAATTACAGTGGTTTGTTACAATTTATTCAATTGTTATTTAGTATTATAGTTTTAGATTTTTTGGTATTTTTCCCTCATTGTAAATTGAATTTTGTTAACTATGTAGATAAATCATAGTAGTTATATATGTAGGCAAATTTATTTATTTATCAATAATATCTAAGGGGCCCCATGTTAAGCCTTCACTTAAGGCCTTCGAAAGCACAGGACCGGCCTTGTTCATATGTATTATCCGATAATAAAATAAATAGTTGATTATGCTCAGTTTAGTTTTCATTAATGGGGTTAGAGGAGTGAACTAGGTAGACACTTAATATTTGCCCATTATATACAAAACACTTACTAATTAGCGTGCCTTGAATCTAACTTTCAGTTTATCAAGTAGAAGATTAGGTGAAAACAATATTTTGAATGAGTTAACAATGAAATACACATGACCACTTAATCACTCAATCAGTAAGCAAATTAAAGCAAAATGGTACTTACTAGTCTCTAAACCTTCTTCATGTCTGAGCTCAAAGTTTCTTCGCTAGATTTGCTTCATAATGAGAACTGCCAAATATAATATGAAGACATTTAATATTTCTTCCTTTAATACCATAAATGTAGCAGCTATTGCAAGTAAAACAAGAAAACATAACAAAAAATATCGCATGATGAACAGTCTACGAGCATATCCTATTACAAATAACACATTCACCGTGAAAAATAGAACATGATTATGATAGATTAAAATTGATTATCAAACAATATAGTTTTTGTATACGTAACAAAACATTACGACCACAAATTATGGTTGATCTGTCACAGATTTGGAAGACTAATCTCAGTATATTTTATCTTGCTTCCTTGTAATTCCATGGCCTCATGGTTACTTCTCAAATTTTATAACTCAATTCCACACAAACTACAAATACATCAAGATTATGATTCATCTTTATCCATTTCGCTCTACTTCTTTCCTCTTACCATTCCCCATTCTATTTCATTTTCTGCAATCTGATTTCAGTTTTTGAAAAATACAGAAAATTTGTTTGGCAAATGATTTCTATAAACTATTTTAGGGAACATTCATGAAAACAACCACTTTTTAGGAAGCATAAAAGGTTGTTTTTTAAATTTTGAAAACTTTTCATTATTTTTTGTTTCTGAAAATAAGGAAAACAAAATAGAAGAAAACGGAAACACAACCAAACAAGCCCTCATGCCTACATGCATGCAATGTATAGAATCCAAGATGTTTGGTGGCCACAACAAATATATCTTAATAACGACTATTGCCTTTGCTATAATCACAAGATATAAGATAATCAGTTTTACGCGTTTCATAGGGGTTGATAATGACAAATCACACATGGCATGTTGCCATGTTTGTTGACAAATCATCCAAACATATATTTTGACTGGATACAAGAAATGTTAACAGAGTAGAAATTCTTACCAAAGGTATGGCCTGGTGGTGGAAGACATGCCTCCTTTCGGCAAAACAATGTTAAAATATGACCAAGCCTTGTGTCCACTTTAGCCAGTAGCTTAGGAAGTAGTAATAAATTACCACATTCATCAAATTGGTAACGAAGAAAAGGTCACTTGAATATCAAACTGCATTCCTATTTGCTGATGGGAGCTGAAAATCTGCAGCAACAATGACCAATTGAACTACATTAATCAAATGGAACACTATTTACATTATATTACTTGTTAAAGTTTGTGTCAGTCGTAAATTATAAAGTATTATTTCCATCACATGCATTATGAACTTTTTCCTCCCCCCAAGTACCAGGAGATCATATATTACACCTAAAAGTGTCTGGATATGCTGTTCCTTTCTCTTCTTTCTATGACAAAGGTTTCTTAGTTTTGCATGCTATTTGAAAAAAGGACTGCCCATATTATAAATAAGTAATAATAAAGCAAAATTATAAAAAGAGGTCAGTTTCAAGGTCAAGCAATCATAATCTCTTGCTTCCTTAGATGAAAACAGATTCTCCTGGATTTACAGACTGTTAACAATACAGCTCCTCATATTTCATATCAAATATAGTCTTTAAGTTGTGGACAGTTCATAGTATTATTAACAATCCGATAATAATGAGTCGTATAATCAAACGTCAAAGATCAAGGTCAAGCAATCATAATCTCTTGCTTCCTTAGATGAAAACAGATTCTCCTGGATTTACAGACTGTTAACAATACAGCTCCTCATATTTCATATCAAATATAGTCTTTAAGTTGTGGACAGTTCATAGTTATTAACAATCCGATAATAATGAGAGTCGTATAATCAAACGTCAAAGAAACTATAGATATACATCAATTATAGAAGCCTACTCATGGACCAACTTCACACATGATATGTAACATTTCCCAAACATGGAAATGCATGAATCCAACAAAGAAAGAACGATTGAACCTAAAGTCTACTTTTGCTCTGGACAGATCATAGTGATCATACAACAAAAGTTAAGTCATGGTCAATTTTACACTGTAACAAGAATATCTAGAAATCCCACTACATAAAAAGGATGCTGCAATTCCATATCTTCTGAAGATTTGATCCTTCCAGATTGTTTCATTTTGTTCCCCTCTTATCCAAGATCACACATTATTTGTGGAGAGTCTATTTATGTGACTTTCAACGTCATCATAATAATAAATAGGATGATTTAATTATGATATCCGTCAACTTAATTTCTTCCCTCCATTTTCATGGATAATGATTTGGCTCCAAATTGGGAAATTGAGACTCATTTTCCCTGTTTGCAAACCTTTGTTCATATCTACCCATTTATATCAACCAATATTAAAACTTTTATCCATCAAATTCCATGCAATTAATACCACTCTTACAAACTGGGGCTAGCCCACTTGACCGGAACCTCTGCAATCACCCTCCCCCAGACCATGGTCTCCCATGCACCAAAAAAATTAATACCGCTAAGACATAGGCCAAGGAAACCTGGTTTTGAAATTTTTTTTTTTTTTTTTCTCTTCCACTGCCAATTAAATAAAGTACATTTTTTCACAATCTAAGTGGATATTTCAGAAGGATAGGATTGTCCACAGAATTATTAAAGGCTAGTGGAAGGCTCTGGCGATAACACCTAGTTTAACAACCAAACAGTTGATTAGTGGGCGATGTTGGGAGGGTGTGTACAACCCAAACAAAAGAAAAAAGATGTTGGGAGGGTATGATAAAGGTTAGAAGGCATGAAATAATGGATCAAATGAACAAAGTACAACAGTACCTTTGTCACCTTAATGTAACTTTAAATATTAGGAAACTTTTACTCCTGATATGGGCTATGAAGTTCATGACCAATCTAAGCCTGTAGTATGAGAGGGACCTTTCTGGCCATCATTTCATGTAGCCCTCCTAGCCAACAGATGGGCCATAATAGCCAACACTAGCTTGGCCACAAAGTACACGCACGAGGCATCTCCATCTTTTAGAATACTATTGCTGTCATATGGAGGGGTCAGTGCCTTTTGAGTTTATTTCTTGGTTTGGATCATGAATTTGGAAAAGAAAAGGAAAATGTGAATGAAATATAAGCTACATGTCCTCTCTATTTCCCTCACCTTTTTTCTCCTCCTTTTCAAATCCCTACGCAATTTCATGATCCAAACATAGCCCTACAGAATAATTTTTTATCAACTTTACAAAGAGGGAGAGGAGGAAGGAGCAAGAGTCCAGCAAAAGTGGGACACATATTTATGTAGGAGTTGAGAAGTGAACATTAGCCTAACAGGGTTATAAAAATGAGGTAGTTTGTTTGGATGGGTTGTAGTGGTGACTAAAGCTTCCAAATTCCAATAGAGAACAGTAAGAGAGAGAGAGAGAGTGGACCAGACTTGAGTGGAAGAAATGCTGGTTTGTCCAGACTGTGCCAGCTAATATGGACAGATGGTATGCCTAACCCCAGATTAGATAGAAGACAAACTTACTAATACAAAAGTAAATGGAGATAAGGGCATGGTTATTTACTTTATTCATTGTGAGAAAGAAACAAAGGGCTTAGAAAACCTTCGATTTTGTGGGAAATGGGTCCCTTGACAAGTGCAACTAAAAAGAGAGGGGTGATGCATTGTGTCTCCCTGTTATTGATCCACATCACAGATTTTAAGGGAAAGCATGATTGTGTCCTTTGCTTATGTATCCTTTTGTCTCCTACCAAGACTTCATGAAAGGGATGAGGATGAACACGTTGACTTGACTATGACAGCTCTCTCTCTATTAATAATTATTGCTGTGATACCCTACTCCCCTATACCTTACTCTACAGCGACCTTGAACCCATTATCACAATTTCTTCTACTTCTCCGAAGATTTACTTGTAAATTAATAGGGCATTGGTGAGGTGAAGAGTCACCATAGGGAACTCCATTCTAATTAGTATTCACTGCTGCTAGTTTTGAAACAAAAGTACTATGCATGCTTGTTTTGCTTAGCTGATCAGAAAATTCCACAATTTCCCCCCTTCAAAGAACCTTGAATAGGTATCACTATCACAGGTAAAGAGAATGAGGATAAATGACTTAAACAAAGAGGACATGAAATTTAGGGATGACTGCCATATCCTCCACTATGTGATTTCCCAAAAGTTCCATTGTAAAATAAAATTATCAGATATATCTTTTGAAGGAATTATCGCCAAAAAGCCAACAAGATATACCTCATCAGGAATCCCTTTTTTCGGTTGAAAATGAACGCTTGAAGGTGTTTCGGAAGTAGGGATTTTATCAACAAAATTGGAAGTCCAGCTGCTGAATTTTTGGATTGTAAACAGTTGGCATAGATGTTGAAGACCACGACAAACAAAAGATGTCTTTGATGAATATAGGACATCATTAGAAGGTGTGAACTCTTCATAAAATTAGCCAACAATAGGAACACCGCTAATACGATGAAGGTCTCATAAGGAAATCCCAAGTTCTCCATAAATCGTGTGAAAGGTGCTGGTATTTGGCAACCACCGCTCTAAAAATCTTTTGAGTAAGTAGATAATTTTGGCATAAAAAAATTGAGATACATAGACCGCAAAGTAAATCCCAGAGCTCTTTAGAAGGGTGGGAAACGTGGAAAGGGTGTCATCCGACAAAAGGTCCATGTAGAAGATTGGAGATGAAAAAGGACGCTATGGACATTAAAAGTCTATCTCATCTTAACCTCTCATTTTTCAAACTTTTCAAAACGATGTTAAATTCAAAGGAAGTAATAGTCTCAATAAAAGGACGGAAGACTAAGGCAGGGAATGAACCGATTGTCTCAGGGTGTCCTTTGTCAATAATCAGGCTACATTATAGAACTCCTGTGTAAACCAGATCTTCGGAGGGCACATGTAGAGGATTGTAGGGGTTTAATCCAGCAGAAGTCACTAATGCGGTGATATGCTTGTGCCTAATAATTTTAGGTCCTGACATCTAAGGTTTTCAAGTGTCTTTTCTATGAGAATGCCCTTTTCCATAAGAATGCCTAAAAAAAAGATATATACCTAAAATAACTCCGAAAGCCTGTGCAAATAGAGAATAGTTCCTACAAAATAAGTGAGAGGACGTGAAATAAAGAAGGGAATTGTCTTTCTCTTTGTTCCAAAAAAAAGTGTGCCAAATTGTCATGACTCACGAAGTTAAAATTCACTTGTACGAATCACAAGGAGGCATTTGTTCTAAGAGGCCTTGTTTAAATCTTTAAAAAAAAAAAAAAAAAAAAAAATTGCTGAAAAGAAAAGACAAGTCTACTAAAAGTATGAGAAGTGCAAGGGCTATATATATGTTATTGTTGTAAAAGAAAACAACAACAATAAAAATAAAAAAATAAAAAAAACAAGGGGTTCACATAAAAACCCATCATTAAAAAATAGTCTAAAGAGACCATGCCCAAGAAATGTTCCCATCCGTGATCTAAAGAGGGTCTAGACAAAAAGCGCCAAGTTATCGTGATTCGCATAGTTAAAATTCACCTGCACGAATCAGATAGGCATTTGTTGGTGCATAAATTTCAACCAAATTTATGATAGAGTTCTAGATTCAAGGAGAAGAAAAGAGATCAGAGATATTAGAAATCAAAGATCTAAGAAACAGTCAAAACAAAGAAGACTGAGAGAACTCAACAACTAACTGCGAAGAGCAACAAACATTAGCACTCAACACTCAACGACTAGCACATAATATAATGGTGGGCTATAGGTAAAGGGTTCCTAACCCAACAGTTGTATTTTGAGTAGCCAGGGATTCTAAATCCCTAGAATTTCAATAAAATAATTATTTTTCTTCGTTTTGTTAAATTTTTTTATTCTTCATTAAACGGAAGTGTCATTTGTTTAAAGTGTATAATAATGATCTGCGATATAGATCGAAAATAGGAGCCTATTATTAGATAATAAACATTATTCAGTCCCAAAAAAAAAAAATACTAAACAGTGAACGTTTTGGTTGAAATTTGTGTGCCAACACCACCTTCAACCTAGAGTTGAGGATTGTTGGGATACAGAATATTGCATATTTAGGAGATCCCGTGATTTCTATAAATTACGATTATTTAGGGATTTGATTTTTAGGATTTGATTGTGTAATTATTTAATTCATTTTTCCTGTGTATCTTATATTGATTATAAATAGACATGGTCTCACCC